ATAAAATAAAAAAATAATCTGGCATGTACAAGATTCAATATCTGCATCCCATGTCTTGCTTTGATCACTCTACCTTTTCACAGTCCATCAGACAACAAGGACATACCTTGTCCTCATTGCCTACCCTCGTGACCTCGTAGGTTTTTTTTGTAAGGTTTTGCTCTGAACTTTAAATCCCAATCAATTTTTGATCTCCTGTTCTGAAAGTCTTGGGTCAAAATTGGCCCGATTATATTTTCATCCATCTCAGCCGAAACCTCAGTTCCATCAGATGAAAAGTCACCACAAATTACAACGCTGTCACCTTTGTGTTTCATGAAGCTTATTTTTGGCAGTATTTAAGCTTTTGCTAAATTTTTTGGAATGACATTGATTCAAGGGGTCTTCAACTTCTTGACGCCGTACTTGGAAGGAGCTTGTTTTGAGATTGTCTTTCTCCTCTCTGCAGGCTTTAGTCGAAAAAAAAAAAAAAAACGCAAATAAGTAAGTATCACATGGACACTTAAAATTTATTTCAGGTGCATCACCTAGGTATTAGTTTGAAGGTTTTCATACTTATGCTTTTATCTATTTGTCTAATATATTTTTTCTTGAATACACATGGTAAATGTCACATTATATGTGGAAAAGCTTAGAAAATCTTAGCACAGTCTAATTTTTACAATATGAAAACCAAAAGCTTCTTTGAAGTGGTTTTGGATCGAAATCTCAGGTGAAAATTCAAAATGTTTGGGATAAATGCTATTTAGCTGCAAAATTACGAAATCATCATCTTTGAGTGAACATGTCAGTCTCTCAAATGTTGATTGAGAAACTTTGGCACACTCTTTTCTTTAAACCCTTTTTTATGTAATTTCGATTAGGAACTGTTCAGTTGGTCAACGGTCGGCTGATATCCTACATCATTTCAAGTAGAGAGTTGCAATGGTTAAATTCCTTGTCGAGATGTTTTGTTATGGCCATGATTTAATTATCTACTTATATTTAGAAAGAGTTGATTAAAAGATTGCAAAAGGGTCAGTGCTACGGCTGCAAAATGAACCTAAACGATGAGCTCTCCACCACTGTGCCTTAATAGTTTTTTGTTCTGACTTCCTGTACCTTATTGCAAAACATCTTAACTTTGGTTTTGTCTGTGCAAAATACATTGTGCAAGAAATCTTTTGCAACCCTCCAAGCCTAAGCCCGAGGGAAAAGGAAAAGGATTTTTCCTCAGGCTTGGGAGTTGTTGTTGTTTTAAGTTAGAAAACTCCAAAGATTGGGGAAACAAAAGTTGTTTCAAGATGTGTACCGCAACAGTTAGCATTGCTCAAATTGAGTTTAAAGGTTTGGTTTCTAGAAAGGGGAACCGACTCAAGCAAATCTGACACCAACATTTACTTACAGCAATTGAATAATTCCAGGCTTGGACAGTTATGCAACAAGGTGGTGATACGATCCTTGCAACTTGTACACTGGAACACCCAACAGGTTACAGAAATACTCACCTAATTACTCATGTTGTACAATGTAGCAGCAGGTTTTAAATGATTTTGATTAAGTTATAGAATTCAAAGCAATGGAAACAGAAAATAGTACTTGAATCTTTGGTTTTTGTTTTATTGGCTGCTACATTTTCTCAGAGGAAGTGAGCAACCCTTTATAACCCTGCAGAACCCCTTTCTTAAAGCACCATGACCCTTTGAAAGGAATCCTGGCCAACTGCCTGACTGGTGTCAGAATAGCTTGGTGTCAAGCTGCAGCTGCACCCAGGGCTACACTTAACTGTTAGGTGAGAACAAATTAGCTCAAGTGGCTCAGGAATAGAAGGATTTATGTCATTTCAATGCCTTTGTTAAAAGTATCAATGCATTTCTACTGTTTAAAGGGCATGAAATGTGAATTTCATCAAAACATGACAAGCATGGATACATTATGTGCTGGGCAACTACGAAAATGACGTACGAAGGGGTTATAAATAACGCCTTTAAGACAGACTATATTTAAATCTCTCAGTCAGTGCAGCACCTGTCTGAGAGGAACTGGCATACAGACTTACATCACACAAAGCAACGGGGTAATTCTTGCAGACAGACTTTCTCTTGCATGTGTTCATCAAGGACTAGAAGACATCAAATCATATGACTGTTTTAGCCTTTGTCATTGCCATCAAGTGTTTGAAACTAGATTGTAACTGTATATCCCAGGAGTTTTGTTTTGCAGGGTCGTCACGGTGCAAAGTCTTCACCCACTAAAACTTAAGTCATGCGTACGCATCATGGTCAGGGGCGACGCTATAATTATACAAGGCTTGCTAGCTCCAAGTGCGCCCTGTCGGACAGCAACCCCCACCCAGGCAGGAGCCTGATTCAATTTCATCGACTCAGTTTTCTATTCATCTCAGACTGGGCCTTAGCTCCAGCTTAGCAGGTCGCAAAACTCTGCAAACAAGGTTTTTCTGCAAACACACTTTCAAATCCAAAGCTGACGCACAAACCATGGATGGGGCGTGTGCTCTTCTTCATTCATTCATTCCCACAGCATTAACAAGTTAACACAAGCTTTAATGCTGACGAGATGGGCTTTACCTTCTCTAACTAATGTATGAGGAAACACTTTATTTTAGCACAGAAAATGTGCGTCACTTCATCTGAATGGACAAGGGGTTGACAGTTCGTAGGACCTCAGTATGTTATGGTACCATGGATCACAGCAAGTTGTAATCTAATTTTACAATCAGCTACAACTCAGGAGAAACACAAAGGAATCAGTCTTAAAGTCAGGCTTCCACTGTGTGACATTTCTTGACAACACAGTCTCTCAAAGCCAATATGGCCACCAAGTGTCCGTCTATCCATTGTTCATAGCCACTTGTCCATGCAGGGTCATGAGGAGCTGGTGCCTACCTCCACCAGGTAGGCACCTGGTCACTGGCCAAAATTTAGGGTACAACCTGGACAGGTGGCCTGTCTATCATAGGACAACACAGAGACACACAGGGCAAACAACCATGCACACACACTAAGGACGATTTAACAGACCAGTTAACGTAACAGTTGTCCTAACAGGTGTTTTAAGAGAGTGGGAGGAATGTGGAGTACATGGAGAGAACCCATGCATACACACAATGTAGAAAGACCCCAGGCTGCAATTCTAACCCAGCTGCTAGACCTTCTGGTTGTTTTTTAAAGTGATCTTAGTGCTCCATGCTTTTTTTTTTTTTTTTTTTTAAGGTCTTTTGCATTAACTCAGTGGTCTTTAGCTTCTTTGAACACATATTAGTCTAGTATAGTGTTTTGTTTCCCATGACAGCATGGTGTGCAATGTGTCCTTAACATTTTGAGGAAACTTGATGAAGAAGTAGAAAAGAAGAAATTGCATAAAAAGACACAAGCTCGGGTACTTGAAGCGCATGTCGTTGAGAAACATGAAAACCCAGAGTATCTGTCTAACTCAAGGCCTGATGAGGAAACATGTTCAGTTAGCTGATGTGGTTTTATGCCTTTTACACCAACATAAGCCATTCTCTGTGGATCTCACAATAAATTAAGAATAAAAACAATTAGTGTAGTTGCAACAGTCTGCTTGTTCAAATACAATTTACAAAAAGGTTTGGCATTGCCACATACTTGACACTGATGCTCACCTTGCAAATGTATGTTTCTTACAAACGTTTCACCATTTGAGGTTGAGGGGAAAGAAAAAGATCTCCCAACTGTTTTAGGTTAATTACCAGGAAATATTGCAACAAAGAAATAATCAGCCAAACACAAACTTCCTTACTTTTCAATTAAAGTTTAGTTAACTGTCTGGCTCTTTTCCCAGCCTAAGAGACGTCGTTACATTGTGTCACAGATTATGGAAACTTCCTGAGTTGGAGGGCAGTCGCCTTCTGCATTGCTTTACAAATGTCTCCATCTAGTGGTCTGCAGCACATCGGCATCCTTTCCACTCCAATAAGCAGGGCTCTATTCCAGCCTTGTCGGAAACAAAGATGAGTAACGTTATTTATTTATTTATTTATTTATTTATTTATTTATTTATTTATTTAATTCGAACAGACAAAAAAGACAATAAAGAAAAAGAAAATAAAATAGAATGAAACAAACTTAAGAAATAAAATGTAAAACAAATTATTTTGCCCATGTGACATGCAAATTTTATATTTTCTGTTTGAAAAGGAGCAGGTAGAAGATATAATATCTTATAATGTCCTGCCCCTTTCCTACTTGTCAATTTATAATCAATTAACATTCTTGCTATTTGACTCGATCAAATGTGGATGGATGCAGTAAAGGTGAGTAAAGAGAGAGTCAGTAGGAACTGATTAGACTGAAACATCATAGACATTTTACTCCAACTGGATTCTTTTCAGGTGTTTGACCAATTGATCCATCCTGAGCCTCTTTGTAATCGTTCAGTGAGTTCAAGTGATTTACAGCTTGTTCTTTGAAGCTAATGTTTTTTTCTTTTGTTTTTTAAACAACTGTGTCCAGGCAGTTCTACAGTTTCTGAGATACTCAGATCGTCTGATCTGACACTGACAAATAGGCTTAAAGTCAATGCCATCCCTTTTCTGATGCTCAGCTTGAACTTCAGCAATTCCTCCTTTATGTTGGGATGCGGCAATCTGATTGCCGCAGCTGAGTCGCTATACAAGTAATAAAACGGGTAATTATCCAGCGAGAGTATCTCGACTTATGTTTGTGTTTATAGATATGCTGCAAGAATATACTGTGATTCTATTTGGTGCCTTTTGAATATTAATTTTACTTCAGTGATTCTATTTCTTTGTGAATTTCGATGATAAAAGCACGTTTTTATAAATTATTTTTAAATTATATTAGTTGCTAGAAATATGTACATTTTCCCAAAATGAACAGCTTTTTAGACCGGCTCTTTAAAGTGAACGCATCCTTAAGATTTGGTTCCCCTGTAAGACTCAGCAGTTCCATCACTAGTTAGTTTAGATTTGTCCTTTGGGTTCTTCTCTGTCTACGCTGCTGTGACTTTAAGAGGCCGCAGAGCGGAGGTGAGTCCTCTGTTTACATTGCAACAGCTGGGTGGGGCTGCTGATGCACCAACACCACGCTTCCTGCTCATTTAAGAGCAGCGCGAGACCACGCGGAGCCTGTCACGCGCGATGTCTGCCGCAGAGTGGAAGCAGAAATGCGAGGCGGAGTGGGGTCTGCAGGGCGCCCCGATGCCCGACGCTGTGGACTGGAAGTCCGTGTATGAGGCCAAGCCGCTGGGACGGAACCTGCTGAAGAACCCGTCTCCTATCGGTACCACTTCACTGTCACACTCAAGTTTCTGTCCTGTCATGATTCACAGCAGGCTACTGGGCTGGTTCCGAAGCTGTTTTACAGATTCAGGCCGAATCAGAAGGCGTAAAGCTACCACAGGGAAAAGTTCTTCAAAGTAACCGATGTGAAGCTGGCTCGGAGTTTCCTGTTGAGTCAGTTGTGACGGGAAGGGAGCAGTCAGCTTCCAGAGTAAACGGTCACAATTTCATATAGTTTATAGAGCTGAGATTTCAGCTCTATAAACTTTTCCTGCTGTTTATGATCTCAGGTCACACTGATAACCACTTTCTCAGAAAATAGGAAGGGGAAAACAGCAAGTTAGTTTGCAGGTGGGGATAGAAAACAGTCTTGAGTTTCATTATTCTTTTGGATTTCTGGAACTTTTTTAAAAGGACAGATGAAATATAAACAAACTTGCATCCTCTGGGTTGTAACAGTGCATTCATGTAATCCTGTTGAAACAATGTGGTAACGTAAGGATAAGCTGTGACTGCGGTGACTAAAATATTTGTTCAGAGGGCTGGAAACTTAAGCTTCCTCATTTCAGAGCTGAGGTGTGTCTTAAAATTTATCGTCAATGATCCTGACTAATGCCTAACATTTGTACACACCCAGTAATCCTATTCAGAAGAATGGGACTATTGTTTTTGAGTTGTGATTCTTTCCTGGGGGTTCCTGAGGTCATTGTGGTGAATTGCCTCTTCCTACAGGGTTTAGTAAGGACACCCCTCCGCCTGAGCCTGAGTATCCAGATGCGCCTCCAGCTGGACCTCCCCGCTTTCAGCCTGAAGGTGAGAGACAGAGCTAATCAGCCTCTTTTTGTTAAAAAAAAAAACAACAAAAAACAGTACATTTCAGTGAACTAATCTTTTAAATCTCAGGTGACTTTGCTAGCTGGACCACGAAAACAGAGGTCCTGCCTTATGACACCAGTGGCATCCCAGAGGGCGCTGTGGTCTGTGGGTTGCCGCAGTACAGGTGGGTTTTGCTGAACATTAACAAGGATTATCTTTAAATATACTATACACACTGCTATTAAAACTAAACTGTGGGCTTAGATTAAAAAAAAAAAAAACAGCAGTACACAGAATTCACTGCCATGTGGTTTTGCCCTCAGCTGGTTCACCTTGGAGCAGGTTGTGGACCTGAAGGCAGAGGGACTGTGGGATGAGCTGCTGGACAAGTTCCAGCCTGAAATAGTCATTCAAGATTGGTAGGTCACTGAGCACTCGCCTCCACTCCAACTCTAAAAATAATATTCATAGACTATACTTTATTGATCCCTTTTAATTAAACCAACAACCAGTCTCCTAATTAGAGTGGTTTACTAATAATTAGTGTCGTGCATCTTTGCAAGGCGAGTCATGTGTGTTGTTACGTCATCAGGTATGAAGAAAGTCAGCTGCATGATTACATCTATGAGCTGCATGTAAAGCTGCTGGCTGCAGACAAAACAACAATCATCTCACTGCACACAGCTAAGCCCACAGAAAACTTGAGTGTTTACTCCCACAACTGGAAGGAGGTACGATTTTTATTTATTTATTTATTTTTCTAGTCCGTTCCGATTGCTACGTTGATTCGCCTGTGACCGGATTTTTTTTTTTCACTGCCTGTTTTGGCCTGCAGGTGTCTCACGTGTTCTCCAGCTACGGACCCGGCGTGAGATACGTCCACTTCCAGCACAGACTGAAGAACAGCTTCTTGAACGACTTCTTCCCCACACGCTTCACTGACAGCTCTGTCATTGTGAAGCCAGTCAGAACCAGTTCAAAGGTTTAACGGAAACGTAGCTGCTAGTTCAGGTCAGCTTTGGAAAGAACATAATAAATGTTGCACTACACCAATCAGTCTTACTATTAACTTATTACTTTGTGCAACTGTTAGGTTGGAGTAATTTTTGACACTTGCCACATCTGTTCTTAGGTGGATTTACCCGTGGGGAACGGACACATTATTGTGGCTTCATAAGAAACATTGTATTGTTGGTTTGAATTGACACCTGCATGAAATAGGTGTGCAGGGTGGGCATGCTAACCACGAATTAAACAAAAGCATTTGTGTCTAAATGCAAAACCACACAAGGCTGATGATAATCAAATGTTTTTCATACTGCCAATTTAGTTAAGTCACATAAAGGACTTTTTCAAACGGCTCCATTTCAAATTGTTATACGTTTGATTCAGTCCAAGTAATTTAAATTTATATCAATGCAATTCAATCTTAATATCCATTAATTGGAAATGATTAACTATTATACAGTGCAAACGTAGTCAGTTTACCATAAATAAAAGTTGAGTTGGAGTCCAAAATTAGTCAGGTGACTTTCAGATTTATATGCATTTTATGCAACCAAGAAATTTGTTTCTAGTAGGAAGTCAGACCAGTATCTCTCAAAAGGCATTAAAACAAAATGTAAAAAAGACAAATGTTTTTTGGGGAAAATTTCATTTTATTAATTACATTTTAGAATTAAAATAAAATGACATTTCAAAAATAATTTATACCCTGCTTAATTGTTATTGGAGAATATTTTTCGTATAAAGCAAACACTTCTAAATGCTGATTAGCTTTTTGCATGTCTCCGCTTGTATTTTGTTCTGAAAAATGTTTTATTTACATTTTAGCAAAAATGGCATATTAAAATTAATACCTTTCTCAACAATTAATGGGTAAAAAAAATGTCATTGCAGCAATTAAAATCTTATAATTTCTGACCAAATTTTTACACTTTTTCTTTTGCAACCAGTTAAAAGTCTTGGAAGAGCCAATGCCTCTTTGCCATCACCTTCATTGCAGGATCTGTCTGATGTTGAATTTTGTTAAGCTCCTCATCACTTTAGTTGCATTTAAATATATAAACTGTTTTTGTGTGATGTGTTTTGAATTTTGCCAGTAAACTTAACTTGCAGCATTTCTTGAATAACTGCAGGTACAACATATTATTGTGAAATGATCTTACATTCTCTTAGTGAATCTGGCACATATTTGTTGTGCCAGATAGACTGGCTGTATTTATTTGTTCAAATTTGGTAACGCGTACCAAGTAGTGACATTTTTATCTGAGTTTTGCACTATTCATTTTTAAATATAATTCAAAGTTGTTCTATTTTATATCTGGCTCAATCATAACTATTCAGTAATCAGTAAATAACTAACAAACTGACTAAATGATAACTATTCCTTGTAAGCTGATTTAAAAGTTATTGTTCTGACTTTGAATCACATGGGTGACTTAAAACAAATTCCAGCCTTAAATATATCGCATATGAACCATATTTTTACTTTTACTAAGTGGAGTAAAAGTATCTAAAGCTAAATATTGAAAAAAGATGATAAAGTACTGTGACCACAGGAGGCAGTCTGTTCAACACAAAGACGAGCAAACGGTGCAGATGAGAACTGTTCTCGGCTCGTGCTGCCTTCACTTGCACCAACAGCGACATTTAGACCGTCTGTACCATCATTTATATGTAATGTTGCTGCCTAAAGAAAAGCGGTTTCAGACGTTGGTTCGTATTAATGACATAAAGTAGTCACACTGATTTGATTTTCAAGTAGAGACACCGATATTCGCCACTTGTTAAAGCTCAAGGTGTCCGACGTTGGGTGTCACGAGCGGACCCTGAAGGCAGCACGTCATCCGCCGCGTGCGCTCACAGCATCTCCAGCCACTGTCAGTTAACGACAATGAGAGGGAGCCCGAAAACTCGCCGTGTGAGTTCAGGCGTGTCTCAGAAGGGGGAGAGCTCAACCGGGTGATAATTTTTTTAGAACTTCCACCGGTTATGGCAGCTTTTGGTGGAGCCACGCCGCGAAGCTGAAGGTAAGAACCGGGGGCAAGGAGGCTGGAGTAGCGGCTGCTGAACAGAGACTAGTTGTTCATCCAGTCTGAAGTGTGATATCAAGAAATTAGCAAGAATTTCACTCCATAGAAAAAGTGTCTATTTAGCCATTTAAAAAAGGCTTTTGAGGACGTTATTGAGAAAATAAGCTGTTTTTTTGTTTTCCACAATGGAAAATTACTCATTTGCAAATAAATAGGGTTTTTTTATTTTGCTGAAACGAAATAGAAAAATAAACCAGTTGGTTAAAAGTTTGCATTCAAACTCAACTAGTTTGTAGCTATCATATGTTGTATATCATATTTTTATGTTCATCATCAAATTCTTGACTCATTTTTTTATTATTTTATGAAGGGCTATTTCATCGTTATGAATATTTACTAGATTTGATCATTTCTAGTTCATAATCTAAACATCTAAGAAAGGAAAGGTCAAACCTGGACTAAGGTCCACTTGTTTTTCCTCAGATTGTTTCCAGGAGAGCTGTGACCTAAGGAACGTTAAACAAAATGAGTGGTACTTTTGGCCTGTCTTAAATTTTGTAGTACTGGAATTTTTCATACTTTTCAAAACTGAATTATACTTCCAGTCTGACACATTCTTTAAAACATATTTTATTTTTGCGAAAGAAAAGAAAGCTATTTGTGAAACAGTTAGCTCAACTTCATGTTTTCAAGCAGGATCAGGTCAAAGATGTTTTGAAACTTTAAAATTATTAATATTAAAAATATAACGATTTCTGAAATCAAACCGTTCTATTTTTAGATTGTGATCTCAAGATTATCAAATGTTTCTATGATTCTTTGAAAGCAAAAATAAAGAGCTCTCATTCAAAGGCTAAATTGGATTCAACCTTTGGGGATGTAATTTATCTAAAAAAATGCTGAACTACTCACAGCAACCTTTATCAGCCACAGAAATGCCCGTAAGAGTTACTGATGGAAAAGGTGTTTTTGACTGCAGATACCACCCCTACCCTGGCTTTTGCATTGCACCTGATTAGGCAGACTGCTTTCCTTGGATCACTTTTAAAATAAGGATTTCTTTAAAATTTGCACTTGATATGTCGTTTTATTCCCCTTTTTAATTGTACTCAGATTTTTTTCTGCATAGAGCATGATAGTTTTGTGTTATTTGATGCTGAAAGAATATTTGGAATACCTGTTTTATTATTATTATTATTATTATTATTATTATTATTATTAAAATCCACCAGTTGAAGATTTCATTGTATTGAATCTTTGCTTATTCTTCATGGGGTAATTGATGACAAAGTTATGCGGTGTAGCTATTAGCACTGTACAAAACGCAACAGGAATATTACAGGTCTTTTATTATCTCAGATTACATTTAAATATGCAATTTTGTTTTCGTCAGTGGTAAGAGAATGTTATTCTAGAAGCGTTTGCAGCGTAAGTACATGCATGCTTCTGCATCGTAAACACTGTTGTTCATGAAACAATGGGCCACATTACACCTCACGTTTCTCTCACATTTCCTGTACACTGAATCTGTAGAACTGTACAGATGATCCGACTCTCCATCCTTTCATCTGCTCGATTTCAGGAAGTTAGGACCTACAGATTGGATCGCCTTGCCTTTATTGCCAAGACAATAGCCAAGAACATGAGAACATATACTCTGGATGTTTCTTCCTGTAACTGTGATCTATCTGAGATTTTGAATTTTTTGGCTATTTATTATAGTTAACATTGCATAGGTTAGGTTACAATAACACTTGGCTGTAATGTATTGTTAAGTCCTGCCTCTCTGGTGGGTTGGAGAGAACAGCGAGGGTCTATTTTGTTGTCACTGAATTCCAGGTTTAGTATCTCCGCACATTTTGTTAACATTTAGTTGGTGCTACTTTGGACAACAGGAGGCAGTGATGGACAAAAGGGTGTGATTAGTTAATTTTATATGGTTGTTACTCTTTCTTTTTTCCTCTGGGGCTTGTCATACAGTCAATAAACACCAGAAATAAAAAATTGTATTTAAGTTGAGTAATATTTAGTGACTTTTACCACTTAAAGTTTTTTTTCCTCGCATTTGAAACTCAAACCTCAATATATTTCATTAGCATTTTATGTCATAGACCATCACAAAGTCAAAAGAAAACAAAATCTTTCCACAGAAATTAAATGGAGTGTTTTTTAACCCCTTCTACAATGGTGTCCCTAATTGAAATCAAGACCAGGTGACTTTTCAAGACCAAATTATTTTGAGAAGTCACCTATTTGGTACAAAAAAAGGTAACACTTTATTTGAAGGGGGTTGAATAAGACTGACATGACACTTTCATAAACATGACATAACACCTGTCATGAACATGAATAAGCCTTCATGAATAGTTATGACTGTTGTCATAAAGCATCATTCGGTAAATTATGACACTTTTAATACAAAGTTGACATTATTCAAAATGTCTTTGTTATGACAACTTGAAATTAACCAGGACGTCATTACTGTTTAAACTTTACCTTTAATAACATAAAGTTACCTAATTTTTAAAGTGCAATCAGTAATACTTTTATAACAAATTTACCCAAAAAGCTACCTGATGTGTGATTTAATCTCTGAAAACTCAAACAACAGCATAAACACCAAGGAACATAGCAGACAGGTCAGGGAGGAAGTTGTGGAGAAGTTTGCATGGAAACATGGTAGTGGCGTCATGGTGCTGTGGGACCAATTTCTTCAGCTGGAGTAGAGATGTTGGTCAGAATTGATGGGAGGATGAGTGAAGTAAAAAAAAAAAAAGTATCTTTGAGGCTGACTTGGGACAGGGCAGAGGTTTACCTCCCAACAGGACTATAACCTTGAAAATACAGCCAGAGAATATATTATATTTATTGATGAATACATATATCAAACCATATTTATTCATTAGTGGCTTAGTCAAAGTCCAAAAATATAACTGAGAATTTGGGGCAAGACTTGAAATTGTCATTTAGACTTTCAGTCCAGTCTGACCAAAATTTCCATCCAGATTTGAGCTATTAATCCAAAAATGAATGGGTAAAGATTTGAATATATAGTTTAAAAGCTAGAAACAAAAGAGATTTGTTTGAGATGTTAAGTTGCTTGAGACGTTAAGGTTCTTCAAAGTATTGACTCAGAGCACTGCATGCAAATTCATGGCACTTTTCAGACTCAGACCCATCTAAAAATAATGTGTAATTTTCCTTCGACTTCACACATCTGCTTTGTGTTGGTGTATGGCATAACATCTCCATAAAATACACCACATTTTGTGGTTGTGACGTGAGAAAATCTGTGGTGTGTGTGGCTACGTTTCCAAGGCAACCGCACACCGATAGTCACATGGGAGAGGGGCACGGTGAAACGATCGGTTGCTTATGTCTGAACCGTGAACGGTGTTTGTTCATATGATATCGTCAGATCGCTTTGCATATTCTCACTGATGTTGATGTTTCGAGCAGTACACTGAATATTGCATAACAGGTGTCCCTGTCTGGGTTCATGATGAAGTTGAGAACACTGCTCCTTCTAAGGTGACAGGGCCACTGGTGGCTGAGCAGAGTGACTCAGGTAATGGAAACCTGCGGAGCGGCTGTCTGCTGGCTGTCAGCCGCTCGTCTCCCGACCCCTCTCTGAGAGCCTCACCTCTGACCCCATGCAGCCTCCTTCAGCACTGAGGTTTAAGTGGAGAAGTCTCGGGAAAATTAAGTTTTGTGCAACTGCTGAAACAAGAGTTGGGAATTAAACGAGTAACTCAATAGTAACCTGTTAACGTCTTGGGGGCTTCCTGTCACTGAAGACTCCAACAACTGTCTCTTTAATTGATCTGATATGCCATTTAAGTTTCTGCTACTTCCTGTATCATCTTTCTGTTATAAAATGTAAACAAAACCAACCTCTGCCTAATGTGAAAACGCTTTTGAATCTGCGAAGCTATATATCCTGAAGTTCTTGCCGATGTTCTCAGGTTCACCAAAAGCTTCGAGGCACAAGTGAAATGCCTCGATCTCAGCTGTAGACAGCTGAATGTGTCACCCTCACATCTGAACGATCTCCACCCAGGTTTTATGCAACTTCAGTCGATTGGACATTGTAACGTATATGTATCAGTTTCGACTCTAATTTAATCTGCGTCATTGTCAAAGTCACCCACCGATGGCATCATGGCGGCCTCTTTTTCCTCTTCATGCACACGGTATTGGTAGGCCTGTCATGACAACAAATTCTGCTGGGCAATAAATTGTGCCAGGAGATATAGCGATAAACAATAATATTGTTGATTGAGACCGTTTTCAAGTTATTAGCGGTAATGGCATAATAATCCAAGTGCACTCTCTCTTGCCAATGAATGAGACACACGACAGTCTGGAGTAGGCATGAGCTAGTTATTGGTAACAAGGTTAGGGCTGGGCAACATGGCTGAAAAACCTATCATGAAATAAGCGTTGTATTTTCAGCCAAAGCACTCAGTCCTAGAGTGAACAGGATATTCCACAAGGAAGTTGTGGAACAACCTGTAGTGGCTGTGAAGGTTATCAAGCCACCAGAAGATCCCGCTTAAGATCAACCAGGACTGCCACACGATATTGATAATTATTTATCAATTTATTTGTTTTAAAGATCTAAAATACTGCCAAACTCGTGATGTGACCTTTACTCTTTTATCCACAATTTCCTCTTGATCTGTTGTACTCATTTGCCCCTTTAACTCCACCCTGATCTTTATTATTTTAAGCAGCTATAGGACACATTGTCAAAGCATGAAACTTCTCCTTCTTCTCAGATGTACTGTGTGGATTCTGTGGATGGTTGAGATTTCATAGTCAAGCGTACCTAATGTCCTACATTTCTTATAACAAATTCCTGCATTTCTCACAATCCTAAAGGACTTTAGCAAGTTTGATGAGCTAGTTTGGCATCTAGGCCTGTTTCATCTACTTCACAACTGTCAGTGTTGAGCTGCAGTCTCACTATGCGTCTTTGAGACAGTTTGCGCTGT